TAAAGGATTCTGCAATATTTGTGCGAACTAGTTTGCAGCGTTTCTTCTCACGTGGTGTCCATTTCCTCTTGGAACAGCGGTGGTTGGGCGCATGAAAAACGTCAACGATGTAGTATTTCACGGAGTCAAACTGCGAGTATCGCCTCTTTTTGATGTAGGACTCGAAGTGGCAGACGTCGTCGTGTATGAACAAATCGACATCAACGTTGTTCATTTTCATGACATTTGTGAGAACCTTGACCTTGTCGTCCATGTTTTCGTTCACTAAGTGTTCAGTGGCTCCCAGGATCCGGCGGCTGTCAGGATCAAGTACAAACTGCCAACCTCCAGTACGTTGGGGAAGAGCGAGTCGTTTGCAGTCCTTTCGACGGCATGAACATGAGCGCTCATGTTCTTTGAGAAACTTGCGTGGATTGCCTGCCTTCATAATAGTTCTCTTCGGGTCAACGCCGGGCACCAAAGCTCTGTGGATACCGAAGTGTCCGTCAAACGCAAGAGCCTTGACTGGTCGCGGAGGTGGGAATAAGAAGTCTTTGTGAAGTCCACCAAGGTGTTTAGCAGGGTATGCGAGATTGAACTGAACGACTTCGTCGGGAGTTCGCTTTGCCAATGCGAAAGCTTCGAGAGCATGTAGGAGATAATCTCTAATGTTCTGCTTGTGAAGGAGTCGGCTGTCACCCTGATGGTACAATTCCAGCACACTTGCCTCTTGTCCTGGAGCAAGCCTACCCCTGAGAAGCCTGAGATAGGTCAGGTGAAGGTAATCCATTGCGAAAGCAGTCTTGGAATTGACGAAGAGGACGCCCGAGCTTGCCATTTCGTTGTAGGTCATGGTATTGATCTTCTCACCCCTCAGGAACATCATGTTGTGCCTCACATTTGTACGGCATCTGTTGCATATCTTCAAGATGGAGTCAATGTCGCTGATGGATTCAGACCCAACGAGAATCGCATCACAGTGCACATCCTTTCTTTGGAAGAGGGCTTTCCCACATGCTGGGCATTCTTTGTTCGGGAAGAC